AGCGACACCAACCAAACGGCACAACAGAGAAAGAACCGAAGACACACGACACATGGGTGATACCTGGTCGAAGGTGGCCACCCCATTTCTGCCAATTAGAACCGTACCCACGCCGAGCACTCTGGCCTCACCAGGCCAAACCCGAAGCCAGAGACGATTCCTATCACAACCCAACCACAGATGACAGAATTTAGATGTACGGTGCATCATCGCAGCCGCCCAAGCAGATTAGCAACGAGCCAACACACCAAGCCGAGTCTCAAGGGCCAGAGATAAGCTTGAATCCATGACAGACCACCAAGCTACCCGGATCCCACCTGACGTGCAACACAGCGCACATGGGACACTGGCCCTAACCACCGAGCGAGAGACCACAAGGGGCACCAATCCCTCAGACGATTTGTAGCCGGCAATAAACAGCTCCAGAGAAGCATACATCCGATACATACACGAACCAGCTCGCATAAAAGGCGTGCCGGCCCTTTAGCGCGTCATAGACACGATGACGACGGTGACATGCAAGAGCTCAGAAAGTACAACCACCGGTCACGGAGATATCATGTATACATACACCAACGCCGTGTAGTTCAAGAATGTATGGGACATGAAACTCTACCATATGACATGAGACAAAACAAAGCTAGCGAACTTGTGCCAAAGGCATAATTTTACAGGCGATAGAATCATTGAACAAGTGCAGATCGCAGACACGTGGTATATAAAAATTTAAACGTCATAGTAGTTCAGCAATTAGACACTTTGACCGAGTGGTTAAGGTGCTGGCCTGCTAAGCCAGTGGGTTCGCCCGCGTGAGTTCGAATCTCACAGGTGTCGCATATCTCTTTTTGTCAGGGACCCCAGCTATACTCTTCAACATTTTTCATCACCCAGACTCCATTGCCCGAATGCTCATTCTGCCATACACGACGACCGGACACATGCGTCGAACCAGCTCGGGTTGAGCAGCGGTACTACTACTGCCCTGACCCCACACTTCGGCTCGGATGGGCCCGATCCATGGAAGAAGGAAGCCCGGGACGCCGATTTCTGGGACTGCAAGCTTCGTTCGTGCAGACTGGTCGTTACTCAATGTACTCCTCTTTCGTGTGTTTGACCGAACGATACGCACTCACAAGAGGCGCAGTCGCACGATTCTGACACCCGAAAAAGCGAAAATTATAATCGACGGGGTCGCAAGAGGGATATGACATATCCGAGTGCTGCAGCCCGTACCGTGCGGCCGCTGTGCTTTATACGAACCCGATGGCTTCCAACGAGTAGGTTACTCAACGTCTTCACCACGAAAAACCCATCGCATGCAGCTCAGCATTGTTGAGCAACGAGTGATACACCCATCGGGCGAGAATGTATTGTGGTAACCCAGGAGCGTCCAGCCGGGAACAGGATGGAAATGCCGTAGGGCAGATGTATACAACCAACCGGCCAATCAGCTCGATTCATGCCATACTCGAGCATGCAGCTCCCGAAGCAATTCCAGTACATTAGGTGGCTAGTTGGCTTTGGTTATTATACTGACGAAAGGAGTATTATTAGCACACAGCGGGAGAAAGTGACAGAGCAAAGTCCGCATCGGCTGAGTGGTCATGGAAACCCTTCAGGTCAACACCCACCACACACGGAGCGAGAATACTTGGATAACAGCTCCATCCAGTCAGGCAGACTACTTGAACTTCTCTGATGAAATCTCAAATGAAATAGGCCGGAAACACCACAACGTGGCGCGCATTACAGCGTGTGTATGGAATATTGTCAATGAGACCACTCACACAAATGGTGGCAAGTGATGTCCTCGAGGCTGTGACTGACGGAGTATTCTACAGACTCCAGACACGAGCTTGTGTTATGTCCTGCCACGCACCAAGGGAGCGAACAGAGCCTACAGTGCCTGTAGAGTATGCATGATCGGGACAAGCATTCTGCTACAAGGTCTGATAACATGGTCTGCAACGCTGTGGTAGAGCTAAATTGTAAGAATTTTTCCTTGGGACGATTCATGCAGTAATAAATTTTAGATTCGTTTTTATATCAAGCCTTGGACTCGGGGCCTGGCCACCTTTGGTATCTAACTAACCATGAAGCCGGTGCAATCATGCGACAACAAATTGCACGACGACTACAAAGAGTGTCTCTCCGACAAAGGCAGGAAATCAAGTGTTCCATTCCTTAATCTTGTCCACATCAAGCCACCGACGCTGACAAGCAGGGCAGGTCATCCCTTCATGCTCAGATGTGCGCCACCAAGTAAACAAACAGGCTATGTGGAAGGTTGTACCGCACTCTGCTCTACACCATTCCAGCGCAGCTGTGTTTATCCCCAGCGGAGCAAGACAGATCAGACATGGGTTCTCGGGACCGGTCCGACGACGCCTTCCACGTTCATGGGGCTCGTCCTGGGTATTGTGGGGCTGGGATTCAGATCTACTCGGCGGCGATGCCTGACCATCTCCCAAATCGCCACGAGAATGAGCCCCTTGATCCATGATGATTCAGTGGGCAAGCCACACAAGGGACAAGCGTTTTATGAGAATGTCAATTATTATGGAAATAGGTATTAGCAGAGCTTGCAACCGGACCGGCAAGATTTACTTGGGACTCTGGGAGATCTAGACACACCACAGGCTGGACGCGAACCAATGATTCTTCGGGTGCTTCAAGCATATTTATATTCCCCGGCGCATTTAGAGGCACAAGAGGACAATGTATTGTAAGAACCTTTTATTGGAAGGGAACTTTCCACCACAGCAGTTGACGCCCATTACCCTCGCCTACCTGACATGCCACTGTTGCTTGATGTTGACTTAGAGCCTTATGATATCTTAAGTGCGCTGATGCATAGAGTTGGCATATCTCTGAAATAGAGAAAGAGCTTGAGCAGTCAGAGCATGGATGTGAAGCACCTCCTCCTCCAGTTCGTTTAGAAAAGGAAAGCTCTCCCTTGGCTTCTATCCGCAACCCTGCAAGCACAGTAAGACTACCACACTTTAAGCAAACCCACACAAAGTTCAAGAAGCTTTTGTCATACATATGGGTGACTTTTCTCGTACCTCGCCCGGAGCCGTCATATCCATTACTTGGTTCTGACGTCGTGCAATCTTCGTACATCTTATCTGATCCGATCAATCAACGATGTTTGGTCGATGCCAAAGTGATTCTCCGAGAATGACAGATTCTCATATTTGATATTCTGTAGATCTTTGCCACTCATCAACAATTGGACACTTTGACCGAGTGGTTAAGGTGCTGGCCTGCTAAGCCAGTGGGTTCGCCCGCGTGAGTTCGAATCTCACAGGTGTCGTTTCTTTTTTGTGCCCCTTCTTTTGTCTCGCATGTTAACTGCTGCCCCTGCTGAAGGAATTGGGAAAGTTACACCAATATATTACCCTTTCAGTCTCATTTGTTTCAGTATGTACATGCAATCGATATCCTTGCAAGACAAATGCCGTACGGCGTAAAACGACTTTCTTACACTCCCAATTCTTACCTTGCAGGGCAACCACTGGCTTTATGCATCCACTGTCCTCAGACATCCCAGTATAGTAGCAAATTTACCAGGGCTGCTGCTGGGCGGAGACTCACTTGCATGTGTTGATCGCAAGATCACCGTCCAACAATCCGAATTGTTTGGTCTGAGGATGAGGCACGGTCTGAGACTCCGAGCTCACTTGAACTATAGGTGAATAGCTGGAAAGGATCCAGTATGCTTCAGTACCTCGAGTCGTAGGTAGTAGTGCAGGTTGTATGCACCATGTAAGCGAGAAAGACAGTCATCAGTCAATTGGACAAAGAAGCAATGCGGCTTTCTGTGCAGCTTCTCTTGCGAATCTTGCCTGGGTTGGATGGTCCTGGTTTGTCGCATACCTGGTCGTTGCCCATGATGATTCGAAACAATCTATGGTAGATGCGCTCAGGGATGAATAACATCTTATTGGAGTCATAAAACAATACCGCTCGCATGGCTTAGATGGTAAAGCGCAGCACTAGTAATGCTGAGATCCTCGGTTCGAGTCCGAGTGTGAGCAAGTCCACATCTTCTTTTTCGGTTTTGCTTTGCCCTCTTTATGGCTACATGTTTTTGTTGACATCTCAGTCAGCTTTCATAGCATCTGATGTTGCGTCGTATTTGCCACTGACATAGTCATTATCTCACCAGTCAACCCCGGTCTGTCATCAGTTGTGACCAGGTGTTTACCCCTATTGACCGTCATGTTTCGCCAAGATGACCAGTTTCATTCGGCCCAGTCGATCACGCAAGTTCGGACCTGCTGACGAATTACATGCAGTGAACTCTGTAGCGTCTTTGTGGTGTATTCGAGGTCAACGACATGCATCCCAGTGGACAAATCCTTCAAGATTCGGTGAATGATCTATAGCTCCAATGAATGTCAAATGAACCTATGTCCGAGCAATAGCTAAGAATGATTTCGTCGTGCTTTGATACTCACGTATGGAGGACTGACTCAGCTTGGGGTGCCCACGTCAGGCCCAGGTGCCAAGAACCCACTGGGCTGACTCTAAGCCCAGGCAGGTTAGAGTGCAGGATGGCTCAAAGGCTCAAAGAAAGGAGCACGGGTGTCGCAGACTCACTCCCGTCTTTGTCTCCAGCCACGGGAGTCGGTCGCTAACTTGCGTGCTGCTATCTTAGTCTATGCTTTGCCGCCCCGAGGCGTAACTTAACCCCTACCGCTAAACCAATTGCTAACTTATTGAGAACACGTTCCTTTAATTCATCCCCCCAGAATTTTGGGGTCGGTTCTAATTGACTACCTATCAATCAACACCTCTCACACTCATTCCACCCCTCAAAACACCTCCTCTTCCATCGTTGCCACCTAACCTCGGTGTCGCGGACTCCCCTGGTCGATCGCTGCCCGGTTGCGAGACAACTTCGGTGTCTATGCCGCAATCACTATATTACCTGGCCCAATCTCTTTTCATCTCTCATTGAATAGACATTCTCTCCCACCGACTGCGCTCCCGCCATGCGTCTTTCTGGTGGTGCCGCAGTGGCCCTCGGCTTCCTCTGTGCCTCTGCCACTGCCTCGGCCTCCCTCCACCCTCACCGATCCTACGAGACACGCGATTATTTCGCCTTGCATCTAGACGACTCCGCCTCCCCAGCTGACATCGCACAGCGACTGGGAGCTCGCCACGAAGGCCCCATCGGAGAACTGCCGCAACACCATACCTTCTCCATCCCCAGAGAGAGCAGTGATGAAGTCACCACGCTGTTGGATCAGCTACGGCATCGGAGGAGTTTGCGACGACGCTCCGGCGAGTCGGTTGCTGGCCTCCCAGCCTTGAGCAAGAGAGAGGAGGGGCTCGATGGCATTCTCTGGTCCGAAAAGCAGGCCCCGAAGAAGAGATTCCAGAAACGAATTCCCCAGCCAGTGAATGTCCACCGGTCGCCCGCTGCCCCCAAAGAGGACCCGGTAGCCGCTCAGGCTCAAGAGCAGATTATAACTTCCCTGGGGATTGCAGACCCCATCTTCAACGGGCAATGGCATCTCTACAATACTATACAGGTTGGGAATGATCTGAATGTAACCGGGCTTTGGCTGGAGGGTATTACCGGAGAAGGCGTCACTACTGCAGTGGTCGATGATGGGTTAGATATGTACAGCAATGATCTCAAACCCAACTATTTCGCCGAGGGCTCGTACGACTACAACGACAAGGGTCCTGAACCGAGGCCGCGTCTCAGCGACGATCATCACGGCACCCGATGCGCGGGTGAGATTGCTGCGGCAAGAAACGATGTTTGCGGCGTGGGTGTCGCCTACGATAGTCGCATTTCAGGCATCCGAATTCTGTCCGAACCAATCGACGACACTGACGAGGCAGCAGCCATCAACTATGCCTATCAAGACAATGATATCTACTCGTGCTCGTGGGGTCCGTTCGACGATGGCGCCACGATGGAGGCGCCCGGTGTCTTGATCAAGCGCGCTATGGTCAATGGCATTCAGAACGGTCGCGGGGGGCGAGGTTCGATCTTTGTCTTCGCGGCCGGCAATGGGGCAAATTATGACGACAACTGCAACTTTGATGGGTATACCAACAGCATCTACAGCATCACCGTCGGTGCAATTGATCGTGAGAACAAACACCCCAGCTACTCCGAATCTTGCTCAGCTCAGCTGGTTGTCGCATACAGTAGTGGCTCAAACGACGCAATTCATACTACCGACGTGGGTACTGACAAGTGCTACTCGTCGCATGGAGGTACTTCTGCCGCCGGTCCGCTGGCTGCAGGTACATTGGCTCTCGCGCTCAGCGTGAGACCCGAGCTTACTTGGCGCGATGCCCAATACCTGATGGTGGAGTCAGCAGTGCCTGTCCACGAGAATGATGGGAGCTGGCAGGATACCAAGAACGGCAGGAAGTTCAGTCACGATTGGGGATTCGGCAGGGTCGACGCCTACACGCTGGTGCAAAAAGCGAAGACTTGGGACCTGGTGAAACCTCAAGCATGGTTCCACTCCCCATGGCTGCGAGTACACCATGAGGTCCCACAGGGCGACCAAGGACTGGCCAGCTCGTACGAGGTTACTCGAGCAATGATGGATGAAGCCAACCTCGAGCGCCTGGAGCATGTGACTGTAACGATGAATGTGAACCATACACGCCGTGGAGACTTGAGCGTCGAATTGCGCAGCCCGGAAGGGCTGGTCAGCCACCTCAGTACGGCCAGAGAACCTGATAATGAGCGGGAGGGCTATGTGGACTGGACTTTTATGAGTGTTGCGCACTGGTAAGTCACTCGTCTCTTCTTCCCTTGTTGGCTTGTGCTAATCTATTCCTAGGGGCGAGTCTGGTGTCGGCAAATGGACCGTGATCGTCAAGGATACTCTTGTCAATGAGCACAGCGGTCAATTCATTGACTGGCGGCTTAATCTCTGGGGAGAGGCTATCGATGGCACCAACCAGCCCTTGCACCCCATGCCTACCGAACACGATGACGACCACGAATACGAGGACACCAGTGTGGCCACGACCAGCATTGATCCTGGCCCCGCCAAGACGCAGCCTCCCACGAAGCCTACCGATGTCGTTGATCGTCCGGTGAACGTCAAGCCCACTACAACGGCGGTACCGACTGGAACCGAGGACAAGTTGGTCTCCCCTACCGAGACTGGCGTTGCTGCTTCGCCCTCAGCCGCTTCCGACAGCTTCCTGCCATCCTTCTTCCCAACATTTGGCGCATCGAAGCGAACCCAAGCCTGGATCTATGCCGCGATCGGGTCGATTATCGTCTTCTGCATCGGATTAGGCGTCTACTTCCATGTCCAGCGCCGCAAACGCCTCCGCAACGACAGCCGGGACGACTATGACTTTGAGATGGTTGAGGACGAGGATGAGCTGCAAGCGATGAATGGACGGTCGGCGCGCACTCGCCGCCGCGGTGGTGAGTTATACAACGCCTTTGCTGGGGAGAGCGACGAAGAGCCCCTCTTCAGCGACGACGATGAAGAACCGTACAGGGACCGGGGCATCAGCGAGGAACATGACCGTGATGGTGCAACTGGAGGACACCATTTGAGAACAGCAGACAAATAGACTTTCTGATTGTTTGGGTCTTTATTCCATGTTGCTTGATCTATGGCATTATGAGCATTGTTACTCTCTTTTGATTCCCTTTGGATTGCTGAGAAGGTGTCTTCTTTTCAAGTGCATGAAAGCGAAAGGAGAAAAGCTGTGTATATAGCAAGGATAGCTAACACATCGTAATAACAATGAGGATGGTAAGAATTAGCGATGAGTTGAGAGCGATTCGTAGATTACCTTGCACCTTTCTACCTAGTAACTACCCACCGAGTCCACAGTCTAGTCGCTTTCGTCTCAGTTCGGGAGGGATCTTGGCAATGACGGCAGCTGCTTCCCCCCGACCCCCCGACCCTCAACGGAACCTCACCTCCACATCCTGCGACCTGAAGCTATTCTTCTCCGCATTACAACAATCCACCCCCACTTCATCACTTATTCTTCCCATGTTGTGATTCCGGCACGCCCTTTGTCAGGCTTCAACTTCCCAATCAGGCACGTAGTTCCGACACAGCGCAGATAAATCCCCCGCCGGCTCTCGACGGCAGCCGAACCCCTCGCTCGATGGATCACCACGACGACTTCGACAGCGTCTCGTGGCGCCACGAACCCGACAGTGATGTCTCACGACCTACAACCTCCGGAACGGACGCAGAAGAAGAGCCGCATGGATACGGTCATGATGTCAATGGCAAGCGACGAATGAGCTCCGCCCAAGAGAACACCCAAGCCGGACCAATGGCCGATGCTGTGGACCTCGCTGGGATCGGAGACGGCGTGCTCGAGTGCCGGGTCGACTCGCCTTTGAAGGAGAATGACGGCACGAAAGATGCATACATATCCTACTTGGTCACGACACAGGTGGGTGGTCCCTTCACACGCGGTGTCGCTGTCGCTGCCAGCACGGCTGCCTAGCCGCCCGGGGGAGGAGGGGAAAGGGAGGAGGATGCTAGGGACAGGATGGACTCGAGTTCTAATCTACCTGCTTGTCACAGACCGACTTCAAGTCCTTTCAAAAATCCGAGTTCACCGTACGACGACGATTCACCGACTTCTACTTCCTCTACAAGACGCTGTACCGCGAGTATCCCGCGTGCGCGGTCCCGCCGCTGCCGGATAAGCATAAGATGGAGTATGTCCGAGGCGATCGGTTTGGGCCGGAGTTCACCACACGCCGCGCGTGGTCTCTACATCGATTCCTGAAGCGTCTGACGTTGCACCCGGTGTTGCGTCGGGCGCCGTTGCTGGCGATCTTCCTGGAGTCGCCCGACTGGAACGCTCACATGCGGCTGCGCTCGTCTCGCCACTCGACCAGCACGTCCGACGGGAGTGGGGTGCCGGGCCTGTTCGACAACTTCACTGACACGTTCGTCAATGCGTTCACCAAGGTGCACAAGCCGGATCGGCGATTCATCGAGGTCCGGGAGAAGGCCGATAAGCTGGACGAGGACTTGAATCACGTGGAGAAGATCGTGGCTCGGGTCGCGCGACGGGAGTCGGACCTCGAAGCGGACTACAACGACTTGGCGACGCAGTTCCGGAAGCTGACGCCACTGGAGCCGGAGGTGGAGGTGCCATTGCAGGTGTTCGCGGCCTCGGTGGAGGAGACCGGCCGTGGCCTGAAGACGCTCAAGGACCACACCGATCAGAATTACTTGGGCTCGTTGCGGGATATGGAGGCGTACATTGTGTCGCTCAAGTCCTTGCTTAAGACGCGCGAGCAGAAGCAACTGGACTTCGAGGCCCTGGTGGATTATCGGAACAAAGCCGTGGCTGAGCGGGATTCGCTGGCCTCGAACCCGTCGTCGTACTATGCTTCGAATCCGCTGACCTCGTCGCCCGCATCGTTCATCCGATCCAAGATGGAGGACATGCGGGGAGTCGACCACGAGCAGTCGCGGCGCGAACGGGTGCGGAAACTGGAGCTTCGGATCGACGAGTTGACACGGGAGGTGGAATCGGCCAAGACAACGTCGGAGATGTTCGACGAGGAGGTGGTGCGCGAGGTGGCCGACTTCGAGCGGATCAAGGCGGTGGAGTTCAAAGACACCCTGGGGGCTATGGCGGAGAAGCACATCGACTTTTACCAGGGCGTGCTGAATACCTGGGAGCGGTTCGTCGCCGAGATGGAGGGTGATCTGGATGAGAACGCGGGGGAAGCTGGGACCGGCCAAAGTCGGTAGCTTTGTGTGCGTTGTGTTTTATGATCATGTTGTGCGTTCCAACTCCCTCTAGGTATACTCTCTATTGTTCTATCGGACTAGCCTGTTGCTTTGCCGTGCCTGCCGTGCCTGCTTATACCTCTTCCTCTGTCAATCAAGGGTTTTTCATTTCATACAGCAGAAGGGGGGTGAAGAGGAGAGACAAAAAGAGCTAGGCTGATGAAAAACAATCACGACGTCTCATTATGTATACTCTTTTCCCCGGATTCATCTCCCTCTCCCCAGATCTATACAACCCCCAACCCTAACTCCCCACCAACCGATCCCTCACTCTCTGACTCTCCGCCCACTCCAAATCCACCGGACTCGGATTCTGCTGCCCCACCGACGGATCCAGAACCGCCAAATCCAAGGCGCGAGTCGTTTGCCTCCGAACGAGCTTCTATAGTTGCCGTGCATGCCCCGGAGATTAGTCTTGGAGCTGCCTTTCCGCTCTGAACATGACCCAGACGAAAAGGGGGTGAGACCCACCTCGCGATAGATCTGATTCGGCGTCTTCGTGATTTGTGTGCTGTCCTTCGGGTTCTCGCCGGCGATCAGGCGCAGGTAGACTTCATGGTCGTAGTCGATTTGGTGGGATTGCGGGGAGGCGAAGTTGGCGCTTAGGTGGAGGGGTTGGGATTTGGGTGGTGATGTTTGTGGTGATGTTGTTGTTGTTGTTGTTGTTGTTGTTGTTGTTGTTGTTGTTGTTGTGGATGTATGGGACGGTGTAGATGGGGCGTTGGATGCCATGGTTAGGTAGGCTTGCGGTCAGGATTGAGCCGGTTCTATTCAGGTTCTCACAGTCTGCGATATTGGCAACATGTACTATAGGTATGGATGGGATGAACAGTGCGACAGTATTTTCAAGAGCTCCCAAGGAAAGGGGCCAGATTTCTTCTATTTGATTTTGATCAGTTTTCTGGTCTACTAACTTATCGACTCCTTCAGGTCTGCATTGCATGTCTGACTGGATTGTGGCGGAGTGAGTGCATTAGGGGGGCTGTGAACGCGTATGGTACATGAGTACTGGCTGGGATTGGTATGCTGGGCGTGAAAGGTTTGTTTCAAATTACGCAGTATAGGTAAGTGAGTTGAGTTATGCACAAAGAAAAGGAATTTTTGGGCGATTATGGTTTGCCACTGAGTCATTTGATCGGCAGGGAATGTTTTCATTTCTTCATTTCTCGGGGTTTGGTGCTGGGGATTGAGGTTTGGAGGTCGCGGATGCATATTATGCAGAGAAGACAGTGAAGTCAGTGTTGGGTGGAGAGGTAGGGCACTGTGTGAGGCCTTGCGAGAGAGAAGCTGATCCCATCTTCTTGGATACAGACAGACATAAGGAAGAGTATAGTCCGTATACTCCATCTACTCATGCTAATTCAGGAACGAAGTCCGAGGGTGACGGAGATGGCGCCCGCTGGTTTCTGCCACCGCCTCGATTGACCAGTCTGGCTCCACTTTATTTCCGGGCTGTTCCTGGCGTTTTTGGCATTTCGACTCGCGAGGTTGCCAGCATTCTGCCGCCCAAGGCGGTGGTACAGGCGGTCAGGCGGTCAGGCGGTCAGGCGGTCGAGTGGTCGAGTGGTCGAGTGTAGGTGAGCGGCCGTTTGTCTGGTTTGTCTGGTTTGCAAGCCGTCAATCAGCCAACATCCACCCGATACTTCGATTCCGTCCGGATAATTCCCGGTTGATGACCGCGACGTCTTTTGTACGAATACTTCAAGTCACCATGCGCGCTCTTGTACGAACGGCTACACGGCCCTACGTCTGCCCATCTTGTCAATTGGGTCGTCTCTCCGCTCGCCGCCGGTTCGCATCCGCCTCCACCCCGAGCAGCGCATCGCCCGAGATCTACGATGTCGTTTGCGTCGGCGGTGGTCCTGCAGGTCTAGGCCTGCTAGCAGCTCTACGTATGCAGTCTCAAACTTCCTATATCCCATGGACATGACCTAACAAAGATCAGGAGCTACCCCCGCTACCTCCAAGCTCAAGGTCGCCCTCGTGGAGACCCAGGACCTGCAGAAAGCCTGCTCATGGTCCCTCGATGCGCAGCACTACTCCAACCGCGTCAGCAGTCTCACACCCTCCTCCGTTTCCTTCCTCCAGAAAATCGGCGTCTGGGACCATGTCGACACAGCGCGCGTCCAGCCCTACCAAGAAATGCAGGTTTGGGATGGTGAAACCGGCTCGCGCATTACCTTCGATTGGTCCATGGAGACCTCGCCGTTCGAGGACCTGCGCACCGTCGCAACCATGACCGAGAACTCCAACCTAGTGCGCGCCCTCCTCTCGCGCATCGCCGAGTCTGGAGACGAGAACCTCTCGATCTTCTCTAATACCACTGTCTCCTCCATCGCCAACGGCTCCGACATCCCCGACGGCCCCGACCTCTCCGCCTGGCCCGTCCTCTCCCTCGCCCCGACGACGACCTCCTCCTCCGCACAACCGCCCAAGCAGATCGCCGCCCGCCTCCTCGTTGGCGCCGACGGCATCAACAGCCCCGTCCGGCGCTTCGCCGACATCTCCACCTCAGGCTGGGACTACGACCGACACGGCGTCGTCGCGACGCTCTCCCTGTCCGACCTGGACCCGGTGCACAGCACCCCCAACATCAAGACCGCCTTCCAGCGCTTCCTCCCCGCGCTCGGCGGTCCCATCGCCCTCCTGCCCCTCCCCAACAACACAGCCAGCCTCGTCTGGTCGACCACCGTCGCCAACGCCGCATACCTCAAATCCCTGCCCCCGCGCGCCTTCATCGCGACGGTCAACGCCGCCTTCCGCCTCTCCATGATCGATCTAACCTACATGCTTCGCATGGAACGCCCCTCCGCCACCTCTCCCACATCCACCGACTCCTCCTCTTCCTCCTCCTCCGCCGCCGTCGACCCGCACGAAGACGAACTCACCTGGCGCCTGCAACACACCCCGCAGCCCCGCAAGCCCAGCCAGCTGCCGCCACTCGTCACCGGCGTGCAAGAGGGCAGCGTCGCCTCCTTCCCGCTGCGCTTCCGCCACGCCTCGACCTACATCTCGCCGCGCGTCGCCCTGGTCGGCGACGCCGCGCACGTCATCCACCCGCTCGCCGGCCAGGGCCTGAACCTGGGCCTCGGCGACGTGACCGCGCTGGCCCAGACAGTCGAGTACGCCGCCACCCACGGCATGGACGTCGGCGACCTGCTGACCCTGGAGCGCTATGCCGGGGAGCGCTTCGCGACCAACGCCAAGATCGGCGGCGCCTGCGACGTCCTGCACAAGCTGTACAACGTCCCCGGCAACGGGCCGGTGGCGTGGGCGCGCAGCTTCGGGCTGGATGTCATTGATGCGGTGCCGTTCGTGAAGGGGCTGTTGATGCGGGGGGCGCAGTGATTCATGCCTGGATAGAGAGGTAGTTCCGCCCTATGTTTTCTCTTCCCGTGTATGACTATATTACCTTCTTTTGGCTACAACATATCTGGTCTTGATTATGGAACTAAGGATGTCGCATGGTTGGCAGCATCTAAAGTAGTTGCACTGTAGCTGTCCTGCACTCTTCCCCTTACAAAGCTTTCACACAAAGCAAGTAGAAAATAAAGGTACACTGGCACACCAGCACAGCATTACACCACTCTAAACCAAACTCCAAACAAAGTCTTCGAAACGCTTCCACGCTCTCAATTCGACTGCAATCTAAAAAAAAAAACTGGGTATTCTTTCCAACATTTCCCCCCTCTTAGTGAAATTTTCTTTTGGCGCGTGTATCTAATATGCACACATTGTATTTTGCCCCGCTTCCTTTGTGTAACTTTTTTTTTGTTGAAATGAATCAAGCCTCTACCTTGGTAGCCTCCAACTGCTCCGTGATTTCCTGCACGTCTTGGCCACGGCGCTTGTTGGCGACGCGGGTCTTGATCTCGGCCGGCAGGGCGGCCAGGTCGACCAGCACGCCTTCCTTCTCGGGGTGGCCGTCCTCGAGGCCCATCTCCTTGATGCGGACCTTGCCGGCGGCGAGCTCGTCCTCGCCGAGGATGACGGCGAAGGGGACGCCGACTTGTTCGGCGGCCTTGAATTGTTGGGGGAGCTTGGGCTTGACCTTGTAGGAGAATTCGGCCTGCATGGTTTTAAAGATTAGTGGGGGAACGGAAAGGAAAGTTCTAAAGGTAGGGAGAGGAATATACCTTGACACCTGCGTTCCACAGCGACTGACACACGGTCATGCGCTCCTTCAGCATGCCGGTGAAGCCCTTACCGCCGAAGGCCATGACGTAGGCGTCGACTTCGCTGCTGCGGAGGGCCTCGGCGCTCTTCTCACGCTCGATGCGCGCCTTGGTGATGGAGAAGATGCGGTCGACACCGAAGGAGACACCCACGCAGGGGATCTGGGCCTTGGGCAGGAACATGCCCACGAGGTTGTCGTAGCGGCCACCGGCGGCGACACTGCCCACGCCCAGTGTCGGGTCGTTGGACCGGTCGTCGTCCTCCAGGGTCTTGGACTTGTCCTTCTTGGCCTTCTTCTGCACGGCCTGGGCCTCCGCGGAGCCCTTCTGCACGGCGGGGGCGGAGCCCTCAGTGACGACCTCGTAGATCACGCCGGTGTAGTAATCCAGCCCACGGGCGAGACTCAGGTCGAAGGAGATGCGGTCCAGCACGCCAAAGGCCTCGAGGTAGTCCATCAGCAGCGCCATGTCGTCGAGACCGGCCTTGGCGTTGGCGTTGGCCGTCAGGGTCTCGTCCGCGAGGAGGCCGTCCAGCAGCTCGCGGCCGCCCTTCTTCTGGGCGTAGGACCAGATCTGGTCGGCGACGGCGCCGTCCAGTCCCTTCTCGTCGACCATCTCCTTGCGCACGTCCTCCCACGGCATCTTGTCTAGCTTGTCGACGGCGCTCGAGATGGGGCGGATTTTGTCAGCGGGGACGCCGCAGACCTCGAAGAGGCCGTCGAGGATCTTGCGGTGGTTGATCTTGATGTTGTAGCGTCCCTTCCAGCCCAGCTCCTCGAAGACCTCGGTGACGATGCGCAGGATCTCCGCGTCGGGCACCATGGGGTCGAAGGTGCCGGCGATGTCGAAGTCACACTGGTAGAACTCGCGCATGCGGCCCTTGCTGACGGCGGGCTGGTCGCGCCGGTACACCTTGGCGATGTGGTAGCGCTTCATGCTGCGCACGTCCGGGTTCATGGCCAGCCAGCGGGCGAAGGGCACGGTCAGGTCGTAGCGGAGCGAGCAGATCTCCCCACCCTGATCCTGCAGGTCGTAAATGAGCTTCGAGTCCTCGCCATACTTGCCGGCCAGGATCTCGCGGAGTTCGAAAACGGGGGTGTCGAGGGCGGTGCCGCCGTGGCGCTTGAAGACGTCGGCGATGGTGGAGAAGATGCGGTCGCGGAGGAGGGCGTCGGACCCAGACCAGTCCTTCGTACCCTTAGGGGTCTTCAGGTTGAAAGAGACCTTAGATTCCTTGTCCTTAGGCATTGTGCTGTCTGAGAAGGAGGATGTGGAGGAGGATGAGGGGGGAAAAGAAGAAGTGGAAGAGGGGAAGGCCGGAGGAGTCAGAGAAGAGAAAGAGGAAGAAGAACAGGATGAAGAATGGTGGGGGATGGTGGGGGCTCGACTGATTGGGCGGACAACTGGTGGGCGGCCGCTGTTGCTGTTGCTGTTGTTGCTGCTGCTGCTGCTGATGCTGCGAATACTACAACCACTCTGGTGAGTTGGTCTCCGTGTTAAGCCAATTGCTCGTCGAGAGCAGCGCAATGACACGGGCCGCAGTGGAGAGGGCATCCAAATGAACGAAGAAAGTTGTTCTCAAAGTTGTTGATCGAATGCCATCCATGAATGACCGGGAAAGAAAGTCGCCTCCTTCAATCCTCCTTCCCGCGGCTTGACCCGGCCGTTTCTCGGCCCTCAATTTCTCCGTTCTTCACTCAATCCGGAAATTAGGGCAGATCTATAGGGCATACATCTTGTAGGAGGCAGAATGATTCAACAAGAGCATATCAATTGACGCGTCTCGCCTTGCTACACAGGAGCTTGACTCGATTAACGCTGACAGATGTCGTATCTTGAGGAACACCCACAGCGAGCTGTGTTCGACGTACCCATGCATCTCACCAATCCAGACATGCCCACCATGCGATGAACACCCGAGCCCAGGACCTTTCCCACTTCTGGCTGTAAATTGATCGACGCATCCACCAAGATCGAAGAAAAAACTTTACCAAGCTATATCTCAGAGTCATACTACCCAGTGGAATAAGGAGAAATCATAAACGACAGATATCAAGTGATCTCTAAGATCGGCGAAGGTGGGCAGACGGCCGTCTGGCTGGCTCGCGATCTCGTGTAAGTTCGAATACAAAGCAGCAGACCAAGAGCTAGGTCTTGTTACTAAAGCTACCTTGAAACAAGCGAGTCAACTCACGTCGTCCTTAAAGTTTATAGACAGGACCAACGAACGGAACATGAAATCAGTGTCGAAAATCACATACAATCCATAGAGACCGACCACCCCGGCCGAACGGAAATCCGCAAACTCCTCGATCTTTTCTTCCTTCACGGTCCCAACGGTCGCCACGCATGTCTAGTCCATGAATTCCTCGGGATGAGTCTGCTCGAGCTAGATGAAATCGGACGCAACCTTGGTGTCATAGATCCCGTTCCAAGACTCGATCAAGCCAAGCCACTGATTCGGAGAGTCTTGTAATAAAATATGCAACCGGGGCTTATCTGATCCATACTGGTAATGTTTTGACTCCCTTCTTCTGACGGTCTCAGTGACTTCTAAACACAGGGGGTTAACCGGCACTGACTTTCATCATCTAGATCTTCAGATGGGAAACCTACTTCTGCCGGCGGCTTCTCCGGCCAGAATGTCTAAGTACGAGGAAACTTTGATAAAATACCCGTTGCCACGGAAAGTCCTCAAAAATCGAACCATCTATACCACAAAATGATTCCCTACATGAAGGGGACTCCCCGTGCTGTGCGTTTTTGGAGAAACACGATTCGGCGGCAAGCACAATTGCGGGAGGATCATGCCGGACTTCCACCGTGCGCCTGAGGTTATTCTGGGCTTTCCGAGCTGGGACTACAAAGTTGACAGCTGGGGGGCTGGGATGTTGGTAAGTCTTCCAATACTACCCTTTCCCGGTCCCATTTCGCGGGCTCTATGAGATTTGAGGAACCAATTTACTGATATGGGCCTCTCCGGGGAAATAGACTTGGGACTCTATCAGCACTCGCACATCGATCACGAATCACAAGAAGGACGGGCATTGGGACGATGGCGCCCACATCGCGGAGTTGGTCGCTCTTTTCGGGCACCCCCCTCGCGAGTCCACCCGTCAGGGAACCTATAGTCATCTTTTCTGGGATGCCAACGGGTACTGGACAGACCTGGTCCTTATCCCGGACCGAAGTCTCGAACAAGCCGCGGCCTAATATCGATTGCGAGGACCTGAAGGGCTTCCTGCGGTGGCTGCGTCGAGCACTGCAGTGGGATCCCAAAGTCCGTCTGACGATCTTGGATCTGTTCATGGACCCATGGCTGATGAGTGCAGAGAGACGACCCGGCTTGAGAGGACTATCCAGATATCGTCTGGGTGGTTGAGATCATCGACTGATTCGGTGGTCGAAACCAATCCCTTGGACTTTGGGGGAAGTCGATTCATCAATCTTGCGCACTTCGTGCTTTGTGTTTCTGTTCTTATTGCCGACTGTGCTTATGCTTCTGAGGGAGAACTGGAATTTCCTACTTCGTCAATTATCTTATGCATCAGAATGAATATCTAGTTCGAGAATTTAGTCAAGAAATTGGATCTTATCGGAATAGTATTCGAACATAAGCAGCGAGCCTACAGTTCCTAGTATGTAGCTGTGTCGCGTGGTTCTCCATTACATAGCGCGTGTCATTTTGGCCGTGGCTTACTCAATTACCATTAGTAAGGACATGAGAATCACCGCTCACCAATGCTTTTATTTGGACTCCGGACACTGACGCAGGCTGACAGCATCACTCCCCTACTCAACCATTGGATTGGGAGTCTCGTGCTCTCCCCCCATTCTTTGTGGGCAATGGAAAGAATGGGGTCCATCCACATAGTAAGCTTCATTGGCGGGATGGGAAGAGGGGCGCAGGTGCATGGGGTGATGTGACCCAGTCACTGACAGATAGACGGTCTGTACGGAGTCAGAAACCGAAGTCAGGTACATTCATGTATGTACCTGTACGGTAAGAGTAAGAGCAATCAGACTTTTGCGGGGCCTGCGTGGGAATTCACACCGATTGGCTCAGTGCTGCTCCAGCACAAGTGGGGGTCAACAACTGGGCGGACGATTCTGCTTGGACTGATTAATCCATTCTACTCAAGTAACTTAACCTATCCATAAGTGGTCTGCTTATCAGGACCATCATGATAGACTATCTCTCTTTCTGTAGAGTATCGGTCCAGCATTTCCCTACCGGTTTGTGTGACACCGGTGACACCGCTGTCAAAACAAGCTGAAACCGCAGAGTGCCCCAAAGATGAAACACAGACCAGACTCGTGGGGTCGTGGCTATGCTATCCCGAGTCGGATATAGAAGCCTGATTTGAGTTTGACATCAGCATGCAACCAGCCATGCATGCCCATGCATTTATCCATCCTGGCAGGGCACACTTTTCGAAAGCGGTAACAGACACGAGTGGCTGGTCTGTTGGTATGTTGGTACATGAGTACATGAATACGTACCGGTATATCAGGATCCAAGGAGGAGAGACGGCTAATGTTATACGAGTCTTCCCCTCAGCATGCGTATGGCGCTAGTATCTCAAATGCTGGGGTGATGGGGAATGGTGGGGAGCTGCAATGATCTCGATTGGTCTGCTGGCCCTTTGATGATCCTGGTGTTTCCACGTGGTTCTGGTGTACCATCTTACATTACCTTACCAGTTCACAGAAACGTAAGGTATGACGTTGGTAACGGCTTCCGCGGTCGGGGAGGAGATCGAGTCTCGAGATTCTGATTCTCACTCCGTATCTGAGTAGGAAGTCTTCCAGACCAACCCTCCATCCATAGGGTAGAACAGGTGTGCGATTTGTTCACTGCTCTCAGGTGTACTGTACCTGATTGAAACACTTTCAACCGGAATACTCGAACCTCCGTCCAACAGGTTGCCTTCGTGCCTCCCTCCCCCTTATCATTCCTATGTTTAGCTGTCTATCCCTGGGATGTCAAACTCACCTTCTGGACTCCTGAATTACGACCGCTAAGAGTGGCCACCAGCACTGAAGCCGCCCGCCAAGGACGCCCGCTAGGACAGGCCCCGACCAGGGAGGTCACCAAAATCACGCACTGCATTTCGTCCCGCTGCCTAGGGCTAAATCCCATGGCTTGTCATTCGTGGTCAATATTCCGATCCCTCTCCTTTTGTTCATCTGCAGCAAACCGGAGAAGGGCGTGGCAAGGTAGTCCAACGATCTTGTTTGGGTGCTCATACTTGCAGCTGCAGGTCAGTCGCTCGGCCGGACTGTATCTTGATCGCTACTACTTGATAGCATTCGGGCGGTTGCGATGGCTCATTGGCGAGCTAGGCCATGCCAATGGGCTGGCAACCTATCATAATCTGGGGATGGCGAGGTCGATGCAGCCCCGGCCGCAACCTTTGGCTGCACCTGATGATGCGTGCTATATTATCCGAAGGATTGCTTCGCCCGGCTCTAGAAGGTCACCCTCACTTTCTGGTTGCTCTCTGCTGTGCTTCCATGTTCTGCGACCTGCCCCAATGCGCCTGATGGTGGTGCATACCACGACGTTCTGGTTTAAGAGACTGTCACACAACGTCAAGCCGTTGGTAAACGTGTGTAGCCTGTGTAGCTCTTCGTAGGCCGCAGGGCTGCTGACTGGAATTCCCCGGTCATTAATTACATATGTGTAGTTGGTCTCATCGAACAAGGAGACACTTGTTGGGCGGAGGGTGCTGGGCTGCCAGCAGTCCGACCGGCCACCGGGTGGATGTGCTCCAGAGATGTTTGCCCGTGGCCATTGAAAATCGAGATTGGGCCTCGCGCACGTCCATGTTTCATTGTTTGGTGGAGGAGCTTAAACCAAGTCCTGAGTTGACTGACGTAGAGATTCGAATGTCCCGGACCACATCAACGTAGCAATCCGGCTTTTGCCCCCCTCTCTCCTCCTCCTCCCTCCTTGAGTGAGAAACCAGGAATCAAGAAAACATTGGAATGAGGGGAAACGATCGGGATTGTTCTCCTCCCTCTGATCTGATGGAAGGGGTCACCTTAGTCAGATTTCTAGTTCCTTCCTCTGGCGCGTTAATCAGCAGCAATCGGTGAAAGAGCGGAGTTAAGGTGGGAGTGGGAGTGGAAGGGAAGATAACTTACCGACTGAACCGACACATGCCGCCAAAACCGATTCTCCCACGTTCACCGACAGCGGCCCAGCTTTTCCTGCCCCGTCCATTGAGGTCTTGTCATGGGATCAGTCACAAAAGGCATAAGATATAATAATTATCGATGAGACAATTGAGAACATCAGCATAATCCCTGTACTGTACGTAGTAGCAAATCTAATTGAAATCTCTCCTCTTTTCCCCTCATTTTCTCCTCGAGTCCCAAAGTATGATCGCTCAGGCCCGCCAGGGTGAGATACAGCCAGTACACAGTACAGTACTTGATTGGGTAGGACAGTCAAGATGGAACGATACCCATACCAGGTCCATACCGTACGTACGATACGAACAGGCAAAAGAGTTTCTCTCTACCTAGTAAGTTGGCCACTCTGTACGGGAACCGAACTATAACATACTTCGTTGGTGCTTCGAGGCTGTGACTAAGGAAAGGGTTCCTGACAGACAAGCCTGGGGATTCCCGCCATCTTCACTGACTGCCTGCCTGTCTGTCTTGCCCACCTTCACCTTCTCATCTCTCCCCAATTCTCATTTCTCTATCCCACTCTCTCACTCTCTCACTCTCTCCCCTCGCCCACTCTATTTCGCTCCCAATTTCTCTCGCCCTTCTTGACGCCGCCAATTCCCACCCCTCAATCTCTCATCCAAATCTCCTGCGCGATTCTCGGTTCCCTCGTCTCCGACTCGGACCGCGGTCTTTCTCCACCTTTTCTCGAATCCGCCGCCCGTTCACGTTTCCGCCCCATTCCACGCTCTCGCAATCCACATATCCAGGCCCCAGTCCTGCAACAACTCTGGTCGGTTCCGCCCACTGCTAAATCTTCTACCTGGTTCCTGTCGACAATTATCACCGGAATCCTATAACGCGACTCCTCGAGGATCACTTCTGCTTGCCTTCCCGTCCTTCGATCGTGCCTGCTGACACTCCCCGATCCGCGCGTGGTCCGACGAACTTACACATTGCCGCTCTCTTTTCTGGTCCGGGTGTCGGCTTCGGTTTCCCACCGTCAGTTGCCCGATGAGGCTGAATTAAGATTCACGAGATTGTGCGATAATCATGGGGTCTTTTCTGAGGAGTTTCCGGAGAGATGTGGTGAGTCTTTATCCTGGTCGGCGGCCTGGCTTTCTGGATTCTTCCCGGCCCATCGTCTCCCACTCGGCTGTGCCTGGCTGGCTCAGTATATGCCTTCGCAGTGGTGCAATCGCTCTAGTTCCATGGCCGAGAATCATGTTGTCTCGTTCCCTTCATTGAAGGCGCTCAACGGTCGGGGCTGGACGAGGATTCATTCATCCAATGCCTTTGTCCTCACCACTATCAAATGACGAATATTAACCGTCTTGTCCCCAGGGACCCACGCCTTCGGTTGGGGTGCCTCCCACCAAGAAAGAACCCCAGGCGCCGACGATGACCCCGCTAGAGAAAATGCTCCAGGATATGGGCTCGATCCGAGAAGATGGCAGTGATAAGTTCTTTGCGATGGAGAATGTAAGTCTGCGTCTAAAACATCTTGTCTTAGAATCTTTGCTGATAGACTTCTCTCGTCTAGTTCGGAAATACATGGTGAGTTGTTTGCGCCCGGCTGCCGGTCTACCTGCCTCAAGTGATCACATAGACCCCAAGTGACTGGATCGCTAATGCTTGCGAATAGTTACTGTAACTCCATATTACAATGTCTCTATTATTCAGTACCATTCCGAGAAGCCGTTATAAACTATCCCATCAGAACACCGATAGAGAACCTGGAAGCCGCATTGGCCAAAAACCTTCATTACCAAAACCCGGTTGCTAATATGGAAGCGGAGACACAAGCAGAGAAGCAGAAGGCTGCTACGCCACAACGTCCGGGGGCGCCCCCGAATCAGCCACAAAAACCCGAAGATAAAGACTCACCGGAATACAAGAAGAAGATGGCCTTACAGACTCTTCCCCTTCTAGAAACCACGAACAATTCAACCAGCTACGGAATGTCGGAGTCGCTATTTACATCGCTGAAGGATATATTTGAGTCGATCGTGGCGAGCCAGGCTCGTCTTGGTATAACAAGACCACAGCGCTTGTTGGAACTTCTCCGTCGGGACCATGAGATGTTTCGGACTGCCATGCATCAGGATGCCCATGAGTTCTTGATCCTTTTACTGAACGAGGTGGTAGCGAATGTCGAAGCGGAGGCCATGAAGCAGCCCGAGAGGAGCTTGCCACCCCCCGAAAGCATGGAATCCTCACAACAGTCATTAAGTTCTGGTTCCAAGACCCCCAACACTACGCGATGGGTGCACGAGTTGTTCGAAGGAACCTTGACGTCCGAAACACAATGTCTGACCTGCGAGAACGTCTCTCAGCGAGATGAGATCTTCCTGGATCTGTCGGTTGATCTGGAACAGCATTCGTCGGTTACCTCGTGTTTGAGGAAATTCTCCGCAGAAGAGATGCTCTGCGAGCGGAATAAATTCCACTGTGACAATTGTGGCGGTCTGCAGGAGGCAGAAAAACGGATGAAAATCAAACGTCTTCCCCGCATCTTGGCTCTCCATCTCAAGCGCTTCAAATACACGGAGGACTTGCAAAAACTGCAGAAGTTGTTTCACCGAGTCGTCTACCCGTATCACCTGCGTCTTTTCAACACAACGGACGATGCGGAGGATCCTGACCGATTGTACGAGCTGTATGCAGTCGTGGTACATATTGGAGGCGGTCCCTACCACGGTCACTATGTGGCTATTATCAAGACGCAGGATCGCGGATGGTTGCTTTTTGATGATGAGATGGTGGAGCCTGTGGACAAGAACTACGTGCGTAACTTCTTCGGAGATAAACCCGGACTCGCCTGCGCCTACGTTTTGTTCTACCAGGAAACCACTATGGAGGCTGTCATGAAGGAACAAGAACAGGAGGATCTCAATGCCACCATGGCAGATCTCAATCTGAACGAGGTCGCCGTGAAACAGAATGGATTCATCTCACCGCCCGCGCTATCTCATGTTCATAGTGCATCGCAAATCCCCTCGCAAGAAGACCCTCACCGATTCACAGGCCTGAAACGCGCCCCGACGGCGCCTCAGCTCCCGACCCACACCGAGCATGTCGGCGCCGAAGCCGTTCCTCCGCATAGTCCGGCAGCCGTGCCCCCTCCGGTGCCCCCGATTCCTGAGGTCCACACGCGACCACTGAGCCCCAAGAAGAGTGACGTCCAATCTAAGAAGGAACGGGCCAAGGAGGAAAAGGAACGGAAAGCAGCCGAAAAAGAGCTAGAAAAACAGCGCCGGAAGGAGCAAGAAGCTCGGTTCAAGGAGAACAAAGAGAATCAGCGGCGCGAGGAAGCTGAGATTAAGGCTGCGATCGAGGCCAGCCGAGCGTCCAAGGCCGATGAAGACCGACGCAATGACAGTGGCAAGAGTGGTGGATTGAGTCGACTCAAACGAGGCAGCAAGAGCTTCAGCCAGAGACTGGGCAAGGACAAGGAAAGTCGGGCGTCATCGTCCGGCTCCCCCGCAGTGCCCAATTCCGAGACGTCCAGTTCAAGCAATATGCCACCTGAGCCACTCCAACCCTTGTCTCCTCAGAAGATAACGCCTCCGGATACACTTCTGGTCCCTCACGACGATGATCCGGATTCTCTTAAGAGCCCTAAGAGCGATCGGCAGACTCATGGGAAATGGCGGAGTTTCAGCATTAGAAAGAAGTCCTTCAGCATTCTTTCGTGAACATGATGGTGAACATGATGGCCTGTTACTCGTCACCACGTGTATCAGATCTACACTTTTCTTGCACATAAAAGACGCATTTCTGTCGTACATATTCCTTTTCTCCATGTATCATCACCATTGCCTTCCAGACCGGATTCATTTTGACTTTGACGACGTGGCCCATCCCTATCTTGCATACGGAAAGGACTGCGCGTCAACGACAGGGATCCTGTTTCTGTTTTATTTGCACGATTGTCATTCTGCCAGCTCCTACCTGCCTGCATCTTAGTGCATTGACCAAATCACTTCGGTCTGCATGTTGATTTAGCCTTTTCTTCATCTCTTCCTTTTTCTTGTTCTCTGATTTTATCTCCCTGTGATACCCATGCCTGGGTCACACCACTGGGCAAATGGGGCGTTTGGCGAAAGTGTTTTCTGTCCTAATTGTTTTTACTCAGGGGAGATGACACGAGGGAGTGGATGCTCAATTCGTGTTATCAAATGGTTCGCGGGAGGATATATTCGCAGGTCCTCGACCGAAAGTCAGGCGGGCGCATCATTCCACCTTTGAACACAGGCGTGGCACTTCATGCCTACGCTTCACCTCGACTGGACATATCATGCATGGAACTCGCCTGGGCCAAGACTTGCTGGTACGCGCAGTATATAGACCTTGATACCAATGTGATATGTATGCGAAGAGTGCTTTCTTTCTGTAGGGTATCTGGATAAAGCTGTCCCTGTCTCGCCCATCCTCGTCGCACCTTACAGGACCGACACAACCACCATCAGTCAAGGCCCTGCTGCTGATCTATAACCGCTTGCGCCCAGCATCCTTGCAGATAGACTCCGACCGCAGTGATATCATTTCCCACAGCTCCCATCACCCGCGGGATCCATCCATTCAAATCTCGAAATCACATATAGGTGTATACCCCATACCGAGCGAGATAAAGAACAACTGTCATTTCTATTTCCGTCATATATCATTCCTTGTTGTTACTCAATTCCTTAAACCCACACACCACCGAACCGGCAAAAAAAAAAGCAAACGAAACACCTCGTAGAATATTCGCTGTTGAATATAGTATAAGAATATGTAGTAGACAAGGTATACATAACAAATCGGGATTCGTGAATCGCGGGTTAAAAAAACGAGTCGGGGAGCTGTGACAAGAGACGTTCGAATTGTTTTGGTGTGGGTCGGTTAACCCAGGATAAGCTCGTAGATGATGACGATGGTATTGATCACGATTAAGGGTACTGTTATACAGATTCCCCTTTTCTCCGTTGGAGAGAGGGGGAAATGGGCAGAGGTTAGTTTGGTTATTTGTGACTCGCGGTGTAGTGCGGGAGATGAGGGGTTTGCGCGAGGGAGATATGCTCGTGTGTAGCTTGGGCTTTTTTTTTTATTGGTAGTGTTATGGTTGGGGAGAAAGACGTACTTCGCATGACGGTCCGGACACTGGCGATCAGATTGATGGTTTTGGCCTTGACGCTGGTGTTGTCGTAGGTTGCGCCGAAGGCTGGATCGGCTTGCATGCGGCCCCAGCCGACTGTTTTGGGGGGAAATAGGGAGCTTGGTTAGCTTGCTGAGATGGTCCCGGGGGAAAGGGGAGGGTTGTGGAGCGTTGAGGAGTTCCGCCGAGGGGGGGGACTTGGACTTGTGTGGACGTACTTCTGGCGAGGAAACGGTCCTCGGAGAGGATGGCCAGGGAGTTGATGAAGAGGATGACGACTGCGGAGACAAGAAGAAGCGATGGTTAGTTTCGGGCTGCGGATTTTCGGCTTGCTCAATGGATTTGACGACAGGGAGAGAAGGGGACGGACCGTAGAAGAGTTTCCCTAGGCCGAAGAAAAACATCTTGGCGGGAGGATTGCAGGAGTGTTGAGGAAGGTTGGTGGTGAGAGGTTGAGGTTGATGTGTTTAGATAGTGAGTGGTGTTGAATGACGGCGGAGTGGAAAGGGAAGTTGCGGGAAGGCACTGGGCACTGCACTGCACCTGCTGCACTCCACCCACTCATGTGATTTTGGCCATCTGTCTTCCTTCATACTTCGACCTACTTGGCTCCTCTTATGCATTGAACACGACTCTATCCGAGCAAGCTGGGATTATTAGGCTCATCATGAGTGGGAGAGATGCTGGTAAGTGCTATATTCATTCTTGTCAAGAAAATAAGAAAACAAGCCAATTGACCTGTCTCCAGTCTACGTGCTGCTCCTCGCCGCAGTGCCCGCCCTCATTCTCCTCCATTTGGTCGTTGCGCCATACACCAAGGTAGAGGAGTCTTTCCATATACAAGCCATCCATGATATTTTGGCATACGGGATCCCCACGAGCAATGTCAGCGGGACACTTCGTGCGGATTATGACCATTTCACCTTTCCTGGTGCTGTTCCTCGGACATTCGTCGGCGCCGCGCTGCTGGCCGGTTTGGCGCGGCCGTTCATTGGGTTGCAGCACTCTGTCGACAGGCAATTACTTGGTGAGTAGTGCGCAAGCTGTCTTCTACGCTGTGTGGTCGATGGCTAAAGGATCATGTCTTCAGTTCGAGCTATCTTAGGCCTATTTAATGCCGCATCGTTGCTGTCATTTGCGGGAGGTCTACGGCGTACTGCCGGCAAGACAACCGCCATCTGGTACCTTTTGTTCCAGAGCAGCCAGTTTCACGTTCTATACTATGCGTCGCGGACGCTCTCAAATATGTTCGCATTTGGGATGACTACCCTAGCTTTGCGTTACCTTCTTCCAGAGCCATCACTGTCTACCGCAGCGTATCGAAAGCGCTCGCGACTCGCTCTGTGTCTGCTGACAGTAGCTGGCATTATCTTTCGCTCTGAGCTTGCCATCTTCCTCGCAACCAACACGATCTTTCTCTTCGCGACCCGCCGTATCAGCATCCCGCACGAGATCATTCCCGCCGGGATCGTGGGCCTTGTCATCGGCCTAACCACGACTGTGGCCGTGGATTCTTTCTTCTGGCAGCAATTTCCCCTGTGGCCCGAATTCGAGGCGTTCAAGTTCAATGTCATCCACGGCCAAGCGTCAGCCTGGGGCATTGACCCGTGGTACTTTTACTTCATCAACGCCGTTCCTCGTCTCCTCCTCAACCCTCTGACTTATCTTGTTGGCATCCCCATCTCGCTTCTGCAACCCGCCACCCGCTCCGTCGCAGCATCTCTCCTCATTCCATCTCTTGTTTTCCTCGCTATCTACAGCGCCCAGCCCCACAAGGAATGGCGTTTCGTCATCTATACCATCCCTGCCCTCACCGCGGTCTCCGCTCAAGGCGCCTCCTACATCTGGACACATCGCGCCAAATCAATAATTTACTGTCTCCTCTCCCTGGCCCTGCTAGCCTCAACCCTAGCTTCCTTCATCGTCTCCACTTTCGTCCTTCTGCCCGCCTCCTCCGCCAACTACCCCGGCGCACACGCCCTCCACGCCCTCCACAACCATGCTATCCCTCCCACAGACAACGTCGCCAATGTATCAATTTACCTTGGCAATCTGGCCTGCCAAACTGGTGTGACCCGCTTCCTCCAGTTCCCCACCAGTCAGTCCGACTCTCCAATCTGGAACTACGATAAAACCGAATCCCCTCTCCTCAAGTCGGACCCTACCTTCTGGTCCCACTTCGACTATGCTCTAGTCGAACCCGGCGAGGAGGCCGAGCTCGTCCTGTCTTCCTCCTCTGTGGCTGGGAAATGGCGGCCCATTGATACTATTTCCGGCTTCGCGGGACTCCGTGTCCTCCGGCCTGGCGACGAGGCTATCGGTGCTGTTGAAGGAGATCTCCTGGGGTATGTTGTGGGAGACAGAGGGGTCGAGATTTGGAGCAGAGTTCGCGAGCTTGCTCGACGAACGGTCACGCGGGGATGGTGGGTGGAGCTCAGAATGGAGAGCAAGATTCTGATCCTTGGGAGAGATGGTGTTGAGAATGTTTGAACTTTCTAAACTACAACTTTTTGTTTTCCAATGGGTATGTAGCTGATATAAAGAGCCAATGTGGTTACAGCGAGCCCTAGCAGAAAAGAAAAAAGCATTAGACATAGTTTCAAGATTTCCACGGACGTGTAAAGATTTCAGATATCCTCATACTCGAATGGTCCCTACTGCAATTACTATGGGAGACCTAGCTGCTCATCATGCTTCTCATACCTCGCACCCGATCATATAACAATCTTTCGTAGTACTAGTCAGATCACCTCTGGTTGATAGCAGCAACGCATCCCCGCTCTTGTACCATGCACAGTCTCAAATCGATCACCCTCAATCGTAGTCTCTTTGTTTGGGCTATCAGCCTGTGAGTCACTGATATTCACCACATTCACCAAACAAGCGAATCTTCCCGGTAGCGAGCTGGCCGTAATCTTAAGATTTCGTTCTGAGTTCCCGATATGGCCGGAAGCGAGTTGATATTAGTCGTATAATCACCCCGGATATCAGCTATCTCTGATAACGAGCCAGATTCTATCCCAACATTCACTGCGAACATCAGGAAACACCGGTAGCGAGCTGATCTGACACCAGGAATCACTCCTGATATCAAACTATCTCTGGTAGCGAGCTGGATATAATCTTAATGTTCGCCACCGTGTGGCCTTCGTGGGATATAAGATCCCCCCTCGATCTCTCTTCTTCTTCATCTTCTCTTCCTCCTCTCTTCTTCCTCACCACCCGTTCCATTTCTCATCCTTCCTCTTGTCTTGAGCGCCTCCAAAAGTTCCTTCGTCTTGAAATCGTTTTCAACATCCACTCATCACATCGTTAACGATGTTCCGTCTCAAAAATCTCCTTGTTTTCCTCCTGGTGTTGTGGTTGTTCATGCAGACTGCCCTGACAAAGCCCCAGGGTCCCACTTCCACTGATGTTGCGAACATCGATGACAACTTGAACTCGCTCAAGGATAGCCGTGTTGAAGGAACCCACGCCCAGCCTACTGCCGAGCACGATGTCCCCTCTGTGCCCGATGGAGCTGTCCCCGGTGACGACGTCCCTGAGGGCAACGACCAGAGCGGAGTCCTAGGCCTGGGCGGAGGGCTCTTTCCAGTCTCACGTCCTGACACTGTAAGTGGAGAGGGTGGTTGCGAATAGGTTGGCTTGATCGATTGTCCTTAAGCGTTGCTGACTTTCGTTCGTGCTGTTCTAGTGGAGAACTTGTCTGGGCGTTTGTGACTGGAACCACTGGTGCCACTGCGCAAAGACTCGTTGCCGTTGCTGGCATCGTCATGCCCCATGCAAATGCATCAACCACTTCAAATCTCGCGATGAGTCCGCGGAAGATGATGGTCAGAGCGACGTTGCCGGTCTTGATGCTGTTGACGGTTTGAACACTGCTGATGATTCGGATCCCACTGATGGTTTGGATACCCCGGTTGATCTGAACACCACTGATGATTCGGGTTCCATTGGTGATCTGGATCCCACTGATGATCTGAACACCACCGATGACCTGGAAACCCCTGTTGATCTGAACGCCACTGATGATTCGATCACCACTTCCGGTCTGAACCTCACCGAAGGTCCAAACAACCAGACCCTGATCATCATACCTCCCTTTGTAAGTCATTGATCGGGTGCCTCTGATACCGTGTCACTTGCCCTCGCTGACTATCATCCTCTTTAGCCTCCCGTGCAGTGCAAGGGAATCTGCAACCTGAAGCACAAGTGCTACTGCTCCAATACTGCTTTGACCCACTGCCGTTGCCCAAGGATTGGCTTCCCATGCTCGTGCACACGCTACCTCGATAGTCCAGCTGCCCGACTGGAAAGCGCGGACTCGAACACCACCTCGACCTCGAACACCACCTCGACCTCGAACACCACCTCGACCTCGAACACCACCTCGACCCTGAACACCACCCCGACTCTGACCATTCGCGCGGCCTCGGAGACTGATGAAGAAGGGTCGGACACCAACGAGGGTTCGGACACCAACGAGCAGTTGGATACCAACGAGGAAGTGGAGAGCACCCCGGTGTCACATCTCGCTCAAGCGGTAAGCCCCTGACACTTCTCCCGATGTTCTTTCGGACCCCTGCTGACGTTTCTCACACAAGCCTGCCGGGCCTTGCAAGGGTCGCTGCACTATTCATGGGAAGTGTATGTGTGGAGGGTTGACCAAATGTACTTGTCGCCACGCTGGCAAGACCTGCTCGTGCGTCAACTGAAAAGCTGTCTTTGGAATCGCTTGTTGGCATGTTTGGGGGATGCTTAGAGTGATTACACTTGCTTTGGAGCTTTGTTGTTGTTCTTGTTGTTGTTGGAGCCTTGGAACTGTGCTGTGCTGTTTCCTCTGGCAAAAGCCGTTGTTGTTGGGCGTTGCGATCGGATGATGTATCTATCATGTTAACCTTTGTGGCACTGCCACTTGAACAATGAGAAAAACCTTCATTGACTTTGAGTATTCCTTCAACAGTGTACCTGCAAAAGCAGTAGCAACTCCCTCCGACTTGTGATATGATATATCGCGTCGACGCGCCGCTCTTGCCTGGTGCGAACTACTTGGCCACCCGTTCCCTCGATTCTGTCCGAAGCCGAAAGATACCAACAATCGATCTCACGGACCCAATCCACACCTACACATACTCAAATGCTTGTAGAACTTCCTGTCTGTCTATCTGCCAAGATGCCACCTCGAGCCAAGGATGCGCACAATGCAATTTACACACCACCTCCCTCTTCTTAGCACGGGAGCCTAGGTACTGTAGGTACCTCGAATACCAGCCTTTACCATGAATCAAAGTAGGAGACTTGGATGCAAATCGCACAGCTACCCTGAGATCGACGATCTCGGATGACCTCGAAAGTGGATCACGCTCAAAGGGCCAGTGACGCCATAGGATCACCGGTCGCGGTTGATCGGAGCCATCAGATTTCCTGTCTCGACCCGTCACATTGTGCTTGCTTCATTTTGCAGACGACAGCTGCGGCTGTCGTGCACGACAATGCAACTATCTGTCGACGTGGTGGTCCGCTGAAGACGCCACTCCTCCACAAGAGAGACCCCGACTCAGACTCCAGCTGTTGAAGTCGCGCAAGAGGACGAGAGATACTCGATAGGTCACTTTGTTGAATCCGTGTGCGGCACTTTGACAGGATGGGTACGACGACGTTATGCTGTCATCTGGAAATGACTGTATGCCTTCTCCGTATTGCGTCGGGGTAGAGAGCTTTCAGAAGGCGAAGAAGACGACGGAACACGGTTGTATTGGCCATAGTTACTTCCTAGAGTAAGTGTGTATATAGAACTGTACATATGAGTATACGGTAGCGATTGCCACAGAAGTCTTTTTGTGGTTTTGAGAGGGGTAGAGAGATTATGCATCACGTCCGCCAAACCCGGCTAGTTGTTGCTAGTTGTTGCTAGTACTAGCAGGGGGTAAAGGGGGTTGCAGCCGGATAATAAAGGCGTAGGACTTCTATAGGTCTGGAGGATTTGTTATCAAGCTCCGGGTCGCCGTGTCTTTTCTGGTACTGCCCCGCGGGAGAGGATATTCTTAGAAAATGCACGTCCCCTATCACAGCGGACGAAGGATCGAAGACAGTACGGAGTGCCGTGCTCAATAACCTCGACTTTGAGGATTCAGCCGGGTTTGATATAGTCGACCTTTGGTCTGTATCTAGCTGTAAAGAGTCACTATGAGTGTAGATAGTCAGTCAGATTGTGATTGCACCAAGTAGACTGTTATGCAGTGAGTATGATTTAGTACTCAAGTATGTTGATGATGAATCCAATTCCCATAATGATGAAAGAAATGCCCACTGCATCCATGATCGATGTCACCTGACCCACTCTCAGTGGAGCCTCGATCCAATCATCGTCGCTCGGGCGGGAATTGACAGCTCGCATTCAAACACTCCAAACATGATGATCCGAGGTCGAGTCTCGCCCTCGGAGGAAGGCGAGGCGAGGTTGATCTGGGATTGAACTCTTCTTCAGGCTTTCAATTCATCTTCCTCAAAAGACACAGAACACCAGTAACTCCAAAATCCAAGAAACAAGAAGAGAGCGTGTCTGGAACGCGCTCTCTATTTCTTCTCCCTCTTTCCTCCGACATTGCCATTCTCACGGATCAGACTGGAGGCCAGTCTTCAATTGCTCTCTCTGTCCCCCACCAAGATCACCTTCCATCGCTCCATATCTCCGCCTTTTACCCCCATCCCTTCTCATCTGTTCCCCCGAACCTCTTAAACATGGAACTTGGTTTTCCACGAGGGCTCGGGCAGAATCAGAATCAGGCGTACGGACACCGTCACCCGCCAGTCCAGCAAAACTCAAAACCATCCGAAGGTCAGCTGCCAAACTTCCCGTATAGCGTCATGGATGCGCGGAGCATCCCACGCACCCTCGGCCCAGCCGCCTCCACCCCCGGCCCCAGTATACTCGAACAACAGCACCAGCAACATTCATCCTCAACCTCATCGTCAACCACACCCTCATCTATACCTCCCACCGGTCGTCCTACATCGCCTCCCGTGGCTGCCACCGGCACAGCAGCGATTCACTCCGCCGCCGCGGCCGCAGCCGCGGCCGGCAGCGCCGAAGTTGGCCAGCAGTCTGCCGACTCCCTTGCGCATGGCAACGGCAACGGCAACGGCAACGGCGAGAACTGGGCCTCGCGGGTCCTGCAGGAGATGAAGGACTTGATGCTTCTGCTCAATCGCGAAGGTCGAGTTCTGTATGCGTCACCCTCGTGCGTCGAGATCACTGGCTTCGAAGCCCAGTCGCTCGAAAAGAGCGACCTGTTCCGCTATGTTCACGAGGACGACAAGTCCGTTCTCACTCAAGAATTGAAAGAATGTATTGAGACTGGCCGGCTGTTGCGCTGCCATTTCCGCTTCTGTAAGCCAGATAGCAGCTTCTGTCTGCTCGAAGCACACGGACATCCACATATCGCTCCCTCGGATCCCTCGTCGATGCCCAGTGGTCCGGGTGGTGGTAATGGGGGTCGCAGCACCAGCGCCAGCAGCATCAGTGCAAGCAGCAACGGCAACAACGGCAGTAGTGACAGTAGCAGTAATGGTATCAGCAGTGGAGCTGGCTCAAATGGTCACCGAAGACTTCCACGACCGCTATCCCCATCGCCACCGCAACAGCTGCAGCAGCAGAAACAATCCGAGTGTCGAGGGATTTTCCTCGTCTGTCGCCCTTATCCGACTAGGGGAGCCCAGCTCCTCAACTCATTTCTCGAACATAAGATCGAGAACATCCGCCTCAATCAGCGCATCGCGCAACTCAAGGAAGAGGAAGAGGAAGAGCTCAACGCGACGCAGCAATCTTTCAATAACAGTAATAGCGGCGCCGGCAACAACAATTACCACCACCACCACAACAACAACAACAACAACAACAACAACAACAGAGATGGCCATTTTGTCCACACCTCGACCACCACTACCCGTCAAACATACATCACGACCACGCAGACGGTCACCCAATCCACCACCAACCGGGCACCCGCCCGCGACACTCCCTCCACTTCCGGCGAGGACAACGAATCCTCCGATACGGTCACGAGTAACGCCGACGATGCGGATTCGCGCTCGTTTCCCGGCATGGAGGGCGTCATAGACCGCCTACCTGCGGTCGACGACATGTCGCATATCGAGGGCATTGAAGTCATGACCGGTCTGTACTATGGAGAGGGCGAGCGGTCCCAGGGTCTGAGTACCGGCCAAAAGCATGGTCGCTTGGTCCACTACTCGGACATTGATGGCGAGTCGTCTGGCAACGATCCCCAGGCAAGTCGAGGAGTCGGGGATGGGGATCGGAGGAAACGACTCAAGGGCGAGTATATGTGTACGGACTGCGGGACGAGTGATTCGCCGGAGTGGCGGAAGGGGCCCGAGGGTCCGAAGACGTTGTGTAATGCTTGTGGATGTGAGTTGATGCTCCTGCCCGTCCTCCCTCCCCCCCCGTTTTCCACTCATTGCTTCACACTTGGCTTTTCCCCCTCCCTCCTCTTTGTTTTCTTTTCCGGTCGAGGACCATGACTAACTAGATTATACAGTACGCTGGGCTAAAAAGGAGAAGAAACGCCAAGATCCCTGATCAGTAAAACCTCTACTTCGTACTCCGTACTCTCCCCGGTCTCGTCTTTGCAAGGTGGGTGTAATGGGGAAATTTTCCAAGGCCATTGACGCGACGTTTGTCATGATTGTTACTGTACTACCTGCATTAATTGCCACTTAGGGTTGGACATTGAGACTCCCCTTGCGAGGATACCCCCTGCTCCTTTCACTTCTCGTTTCTTTTCTTGGGATATTTCTTCTTTTCTTCTTTACGGGCTGGTTCATGTACTGGTTTGGTCGTGCGTGCTACTGCAGCAGAGCATGTGAAACTTACTTTCAATGCTTTTAATTATGACTTGGTGTCTATCTATGATGGCATGACTACTATACGGGATATGTATATTCGGACTAAAATCGAATGGACTTGGTGTCTCCTCCGGTTGCAATTATGACCAGCGCATGATCTTCATTTTGGGTTGGTGGGAAGTGAGCTATGTTCAGGGTGTGCATGGGACGACGAGATTAAACTATTGACTCTTAACCGGTAAACTTCCGGAAGGGGAAATGGGGGTATGAACAATGCATAAGACATCACAATTGATAATCGTGGCAACAGAGAAAAGAAGACATGTGTTTGGAACGTTGTAGGGGGAATATGCACACGGCAAGACAAAGTCAACGCCTTCATGAACGATCTCGTTCTCTCAAAGACAATTTCATCATCGACGACCCCACCGGACTCAATTCTTGGCGGCTTTCTTCGGTGGCGGTGGGAAGTAGGGTTGCGGCTGGGGCTGATGGTCCGACAGCGTCTCCGTCGAGTCTTGTTGCATCGAGCGCCGTGGGTTCGGGGTGCTGAAATGTTGACGCAGGGGTAGGTCCGAACTCGAACCGCCGTCGCTCGGCGCTGTGGTGACGTGGTGCATCGGGGACTTGGGAGGCATGCCTAGGGGCTGCATCGTGGTCATGGGGATGCCCGGCGACTTGAGCACGAAGTCCTCGAACTCCTTCATGGCCCGCTCGTCTTCCTGGCGCTCCTCGATTTCCAGGCGCTCTTCCTCGGTGATGATGCAGTTGCGTAGGCTGAGGCAGGTGATGCCGAAGTAGAAGAGACTATAGTGCGTTTGTTAGCTTGGGGAGGCCTTTGAACCAGTTTCAGAGCAAGAAAGAGGTCAACATACATGATGATGATGGAAAATGCGAATAGTGCTTTCGCTTGCTGGCAGTAATGCACATTTGACTTCACGTAGGCCACGGAGCATTTCTTGGTGATATACCACGGTGCGCCAGGTTGAGGATGGTCTGGATCCGACATGTCGGGGCCGGCTTGATACCGTACAGAGTAAATCCAAACAGCGACCAGGCCAGCGTGAACAAAGGCGCACACAGGCGGGTAGAGCATATGAAGGATGTGAAGTGGAATCTTGGTGATCCACATGAAGACAGCCAAGATACCGAGGACGAGGTTGTACCGGGTGATACTTTTAGAAGAGAATCGGGTTAGTTTGAAGATTTGCCCTCTCTGCGGAATTTGAGCGTTGGTAGCTGTAGGAGTTTAAAAAACATACAGTGAGCTCCAAACCATCGGGGTCGTGAACGGGCGGTGATTAGCCGCAGCGTAGAGGGCCTCATTGGGGGCACTGTTGAAGCCATTGTCGGCGCCATCCTGCCAGAGCTTCGTGCGGTAAAGATCATGATTCGCGATACCCGTCAATGTTAAAATGATGACCACCAGCGGCAACTCAACGCCCATAAGTATATACAGGAGGTTGTGATTCCGCCATCGTGTCGGGAAGTAGAACTTCTTGGAACCGAACATGGTGAGAGAGGGAGAGCACTGGGTGTAAATAGTACTGTTTCTCTATTCAATGCCAAGATCTTTCTTCAGATCTGGCAGACGGGGGACTGTGAAAGAAACCGTCCCTCTGAAACCCAGAATCCTGCGTTGTCTGGCGCTTCGGGCTCGTATTCTCACCGAGATGCGTTGGAATGGGCCAGAGCCGGCTGGCTGGGCGTTTTCAGTGCAGGGACATCAAAGACAAAGCCGGACAAGCTGAAACGCGAAATTATAGGCAGAGAGGATATGTCCCTTTGCAAGCAGGAGGGAAGGAATCAGAGAGGGCGTCTGTTGGGAAAGGGAGGGCGCATAGATATGAAGTACCGGCGCCTCCCCGTAGGGAAGGACCCCCAGGTCGAATGGTCCGGATTCCATGAGCACGATGCGGAGAGGGGCAAACGATCACAAAGTATGGCGGAGAGTGCACTGGTTGCATGTTTCTTACAGGTGCATCTAACCAATGCGTGTCGGCCAGGAAGCGCCCGCACCTAGGGCTTGTCGCCAATGAGGCGCCAGAGTGGGCGGTTTGGCTGCCGGCCGTCACACACTAGAGCCGTGTGATGGTGAAGAAAGATCTGCATGCACGCCCCGAGAGGCTTGCTTCTGCAATGAGGGGGAGTAAGCCTGGCAGAGACTAACGACTCACAGGTAGTCGTTGAACGGCCGTGCTCACTTGAGATCGAAGCGCTCGGGTGGAGTATCCAGCCATGACTGGTGCTGCTGCTGTGACGGCTCATGCATGATTTGAGGTTGAGTATTGCCCTCATACGAAAGGCATAACCGTGTCATGTGTCATCAACTGTGCTCTCAAATGTACGCTTCTAGATAATCGTAGAAGTCAAAGACTGAAGCCGAATCTCCATGATGGTAGTAGTAGTTGGAGATGGTTGGAGAATGGAAAGAGGAAATGCGAGCGGCCGAGCACATGACATGGACGTCACCACCTTCTCGAATCACAGCTCACTTTACAACCATATTGTCTCTTGCACAATCCAACCTTGAAACGAATTACTGCGAAGCCAATAGTCGATTATAAATCCAGAACCTCGATATAAGCGCTCGGGTAAGGTATTATCAAACCGCGCAAATATACGGAGTACGCATCACCAAGATTGGCGCCTCTGGATGCGCCGTCACACCGTGCTACGCGGCCTGTCACGCCATCTCCAACAATCCCGGGGTCTCTTTAAGCGCCCACAATCGGCTACCACGCTACAGCGTTACCAGATGAGCGCAGCAACGAGTGGGAAGGGCACATTGCCCCATCAGATGCGCACTGCCGCCGAGCCCCGCCAGAACCGACTATACAACGTCCGCCTGTCGCATATCGAGCAGGTCAACCCATGTGTGCGACTGCTGCAACTAACCATTCCTCGAGAGGTACAGAGTCCGGAGGAGAACACCCAGGAAAGTGATCAAGAAGTAAGAGCTAGCTTCGATCCCGCACGACCTTCTCTCTCCCGCACTCTATCAAAACAATTGCTTCACCCCTTCAACCACTCATCATACTAACCACGTCCCCTCCCCCCACACAGTCGCACCCCCAACCATTGACCTTCCTCCCAGGCCAATGGCTCGACGTTCACATCCCCTCCATCTCCAACGCAGGAGGCTTCAGTATCACCTCCACCCCCGCGGACGCACAAGTCCTTCCCTCGCTAGCCGAAGCAGCCTCCGTGGAAGCCATCGCCAACGATGAAGCGGGACTGCCCCCGCTCAACCCCGAGGGTCGATCGCCGTACGTAGAGCTCGCCGTGCGCCACGCGCCCTCGAACCCGGCCAGCGCGTGGCTCTGGAAGCCCACGGAGGAGATTCTGGGTTCCGAGCTCAGCATCCGTGTGGGAGGGAGCTTTGTTTGGCCGCCGTCCGGGGTGCGGTTGACTGAAATCCGGAATGTGGTTTTCATTGCGGGCGGAGTGGGAATTAAGTGAGCTTGCCCCGCTTCCTCTCTTCGTTGCGATCTATATAGCCTTGATTACCCTGGGCCAGTCCGAATCTCTGGACTGGCCTTTCCTATCCTTCTGTTGTTACGAAGTGGACAGGGGTGGTTTGGGGCTGCGGGCAGTCCGAGATGTAGTCTCCCTTCGGCTTTCAACATCTTCGCTCCCCTTGACCATCAACCCTCAATACTCCTCTCCTCCTCATGATCGAATGGCGACAGAAGAGTTCAGCTAACAGCCTCTAAGTCCCCTCATCTCCATGCTCTCCCACCTAAACAACGATGACGAGGCAACCACCACCCTCCTCCATCCATCCTTCAACATCCACTTCCTATATTCCACCAAACTCCCCCAACCAGAGACGACGACAAAAACAACAGCAACAGCAACAGTAACAGCAACCACCACCCAATCCCCCAAGAGCCTACTGGACCAGATCCTCTTTCTCTCTCGCCTACGACATATCGTAAACATCCAGTCGCAACTCCGTCGTCTCCGGATCACGCTGCACCTGTTCATCACGAACCTAGACGAAGAGAAGAGGAAAGAGTCCTCTCCGCTCTTCGGACACTCATTCGACGATGATAATGACCTGCGGATATATGGTCGCCGGATCAACGCCGAGGATCTGCGGGCCGCCGCGGCAAGCGGGGACGATGGGACGATCGAGCCAGGGAAGACGGTAGCCTACGTGTGCGGACCGCCGGGCATGACGGACGATATCGTTGGGAGACTGGAGGGGTTACTTGGTGGTCGAGAAAGGGTATTCTATGAAAAATGGTGGTAAGACCAAAAGAAAAGGGAGCCATAGTGTAAAATTGGTATGCGAGAAAGTAAAGAAAAAAAACTGCTGTAGTTCAGTAAAGAAAAAAAATCGATAACAACGATAGTGCATTCAAAATAGCAAATCAATCTTTTGGGAGGGTAACCCTGCAAAACAACACCCCCCTTCCTTTTTGCCAATGCCTGCAACTGCCGGTTCCGAGCTCACACAGAGGTATAGGTATAGTACAAAGAAACAAGTCAAAGTTTACTCCGGTTTGCGATCGAAGATAAAAGCCGAGCCGTGGAGCTAAATGGAGCCCTGTGTCAATGAAAAGGGAAATGAAAGAAGAAGAGAAAAGAAGCCTCTTAATGGATTTAAAGTTCTGGATCCGGTCCCTTGACCGTACCTCCATCAATGATCATCATCTCGTCGATGCGGCCTTCGGTCTCGCCATGCTCAAGCCGCTTGTAGGTCATAACGCGACCGGGGTT